AGGGGGAGGAGGCGGAGGAGGCAGCTGCAACAGCCAAGGCAGGGCTGCCTCGTCCAGGAGGAGCATCAGCAAAGTGGTGTACGATGATCATGAGAGTGAAGAGGAGGAGGAGAGCATGGTGTCCGAGGAAGAAGAGGAGGGAGACCCCGAGGATAACCAGGACTCCGAGGAGGAAGAAGAGGAGGAGATAATGGAGGAGGAAGACGACGATGACTCCGACTACCCTGAAGAGATGGAGGATGAGGACGATGCCAGTTATTGCACTGAGAGCAGCTTCAGGAGCCACAGCACCTACAGCAGCACCCCAGGTAGAGAGTCAGTGGGATGAACTAAAACAAGTCGAGGGCACCCCACATGCTCCCTCTAGGTTTGCAAATACAGTCCTCACGCGTTCTTCCTCCCGTGCGTGTATGTAAGGGATGCCTGCAAGCACTCACAGGGAGAGGGGGGTGTGCAGATTAACGACTGGCAACCCCACGGATGCGGGAATATTACAAGATGCTTACAGACACATGCACCCAGAGGAGGGAGGGAGGGAGGGCAGTACATGCTCTAACGAGGGGATGCTTTGCAAATATGCATGGAGATCCTGGTGACTGCAGCAATGCATGACACACCAGAACACGTTGCAAACAACGTTAAAAGTGTATGGAGCATTTACTTAATATTTTTTTAAAAAGGGAAACGAGATGTATGCCTTGCAGAGGGGTCCTTTCAAATGCATACAGGAAAGGATGGTGTGTGCTTGCAGATATAACTTGATGTTAAAAGGAAGCACATGCAACTTGAAGTGGCCTTAAAGAAAAAAGCAAACCATAACCAGTGAAAATTTTCGGGCTTTTGAAATCGGAGGTATAACTGGGTCTAGCATTTACTGGCTGTAAGACAAAACTAGCTTTCCAAAGAGGGAAATGAGGTGCATTGTTCAAAATGGAGATTGCATTGTTATAGTTTGGGGAAAAGTGCACTGGGCCTCATTGCAAGGGTGTAAACCTAGTTTTAGTTAAACACAAAGATTAAAAGGTGGAGGTTGAGTCAAAAGTGTTGGTTTTAAATACTGCATTTATCGTAAGATATGGCAATCTTTAAAACTCATGTTGGGGTTAAAACTAGTTAAACATCACTGATAATTTTTTTTTTTTTAACCTCTAGTGGCAAATTTGGGCTCAAATTTTAAGGCCTGTAATTCTATTTGTCCTTAATTAGTTCTTTAACCGTGGGGGGTTTCAAGCTTCAAAATTTATTTTATCTAAACTTAAGCACCTCCGATTGATATGAATTCATTCCAGAATGGAGTTCAAGCTTAGGATGATTTTTTTTTTTCAAGTCTCTGAACCAGGAGAGTGGTTAAACTTGGGGATAACCTGGGAGTGTTTCTACACCGGGTTAGAGGGCAACAGACTCTGCTGTAGTACAAGTAGTTGGCCAGTTTGGAAGGGGGGAGGAACAGGTTGTTGGTGTGAATGCACTGCATCTTAATTAAAAAAGGAGTGTAGTTTTGAGTAGTTCGCTGAGTTTTTAAAAGAAGGAAGTACCTGCTATTAAATGTGAACCTTGTTTTTATTTTCTTAATGGTGTCAGCTAATTATGTGACTTCATAATATTCCTTTAAAAAAGCCAGCGTGTCTATATGTATTAATCTATGTCCTTGTGCTCAGGAACCTAAATGAATCGAAATACGCACATACATTACTAAATTAACTTAATTTAGAAATATTTTTTTAAGGTGTTTATCTGTTGCAGGGGTGTCCTGCAGTCAAATTGAAATTTTGGATTATTTATTAAAGATTAAGGTCTGGTTTCACGGAAGAAAAAAAAAAATATAAAGCACTGTCTTGACTTTTTAAGTTTTCAATTTCTGCTTAGTTGTGGTAACTTTAGTTTTTATTAGTTTTGGGGGGAGGATGCTTTTGTCAGGGAAAGAATATTTTTGTGATTTTAATTGGCTAGATCAGGGAAATATTTTTTATGGGAGCATCCAGGTTTAAAATGAGCTCTGCAGAGTATGGGTGTATTCAGCGTTTGAAATGTACTTAAGTGCTTTGGCAAATAACAAGATACCTCTGTGTGCATTGCTGTGCAAGCATAGACAGGTTTTATGTGGTATTTAGGTGCATCAGAAACCATTTTGATAATTTACATGTTTATTTTTCACTCGGTCAGGGCAACTTCATTTAACTTTCTAAAGATAAGATTAAGTGTAAGAATTTTCATCTTTGTGTGTGCTTTTTTTTTTTTTTTTTTAAAATACTCAGTGTTTGATAGTTAAAACATCCGTGCTGTAATTCTGGCAATTTACTGGCAGTTCTCAGTGGTTCAGTGTTCACCCAAAGGTCTCTCTCCCAGACGTGCTGTTGCCCTTCTCCAAAGAAAGTGCAAACTTCTCATCCCATCAGCTCAAACTGTGTCTTGTTCCTGATGAACAAATATCTGAGTTTTGAGTGCTGCTGCACAGTGCTGGCACTAACTGAATTCTTGGCCTTATCTCACAATCCAGGAAGAGATACTTGACATGAGAACAGCATTAAAAGGCAAAGAAAAGACCCACCAAACCTCAGTATCATTGTGTGGTGGTGGGCAGTGCAGAGAAGAGTGTTAAGAACAGGGCAAGCAACAGGGATAAGTTTTCAGAATTCCTTCCTGGGCTCCAGTGCTCTTTGAGACAGGTGCATGCTGAGCTAGAATTGGTCTTTATGTTTAGATATGGATGTTTTTCTTTCATATATTTGTCTTCAAACCAGACAAATTGTAACTTACAGTGACAAAGTTCCTGTGGTTAACTGGAGGGCTTCAAGGAGCATCTTCTCCATTGCTTTAAACTTGCCCCTGACAGAATTGTGCAGTGCCCTCTGTGTTTTTTTCTGCTAGAAGATATGATGAACGATCCTCCTCTACTGATCAGCCCTCAGTCACAGGCAGCCTGAATCACTGGCATTTTCAGGATGTAGTCTTGGGGGATGAAGAGTTTATTTTTTGAGAGCAGGGTATTGAAAAATTGAAACACCAATCAAACTCTCTTACCAACCAAGATTTTACACATGTATCACATCCCACTTAAATGGCTGACAGACATTTTAAGGGTTTTTTTTCAAACTTCTATTGAGCAATGAATTAAAAGATCACAGTGCAAGGTCTCTAGCCAAGAAAGGCTCAAATTTTGTGCTCTTCTGGGGAGTTTATGATGTATCCTGAACTTGGAGTTTATGAAGTATCTTGAACTTGGATGTAGCAGTACTTCTTTACTATAACATTATTCAAGTATTTTAGAGAGCATAATCTTAGGAATGGTAAATTGCCATTGATACAGGCCTTAAAATGGTACAGGAAAGCTTATTGTGGGAATGCATGTGATGTTTGTCATTGCTTTTCCTTTTGCTGGATGGATTTTTGGTAGAGGGATTTTGTGTGTGTGAGAGAAATGTCCCTTCTCTCTTGCTCCTCCTTGTCCCAAGAAGGTAGATGTAGTTCTGGGATTTTTTTCTGTCATTTTTTTTTTTGTGTGTTTCTTGTTCTTCTTTGTCAAAAACTTGGAAAATTAGCTTGAGGAGGAGCTGTGCATCTAGATTTTGGCTGAGATAATCATCCATCTTTCTAACAAGCACAACAGTGGAGTTGTGAGCCAAAATATTTGTCTTTAAATGCATTCAGTTTTTAGATGGATTTTGCTGGTCTGTGAGCACTTAGAGTAACTGACCATCCCTTCTCTTAACCAGTTACTTCACCAGTGTGATTTTGTCTTGAGAGTGGAAGAATCTAACTGGAAAGGAGGTGCTGTATTTTGCGTGTCTGTAGTAATTTTATACCTGACCACGTTTTCCTGCTCTTGAAGAATTAGGTGGAGACGTTGAGGTATGACATGAGACACTGAGATAAGATACGCAGCCTCTTTTGTCTGTCATGTGCGAAGATTTACCAGGCTCCAGACGTCTCACCTAGGGTACCCTCTTCTCTAAATTAAATCTGACACGCTCTTATTTTACCGTTTAGCAATCTGAACTTGGGTTTGTACTCTAGGGGAACTGTCACTAGTTCATCATGCCAGTCATGAAAAACGTGGAAGACAAATCTTAGCAAAGAAATTATGTAGACGGCCAAAGGAGTAAATCTGTGGCTGATTCCCTCGTATTGACATGCAGATTTGCAGCTTATCTGAAGAGAGCATTTGTCACTTCAATTATATTTCTAAGGAGGTCTTTGCAGCAAATAACTGCACCCTTATCGAAGTATGTGCGTTGTGAAAGGTAGAACAATTTGATGTACTGCAGATGAGTTTATCGTCCAGACTTTTTGTGGGTTTGCAGTAAAATTCCATAGCTGAGCGTTGTATTGCATGGAACGGGTGATGCGAATCAATGTAAATTTCAGTAGTTTGGAGCCAGCTCCCAGCACTCACTAAATTTTGAAATTAGTTACAACTTCTCCTGAGTGTGTCCCAACTAAGAAATTGTCTTTGTCAGAATGCTGCTGAAAATCTTGATGCTAGTGATACTTTTTTTATTTCCCCTCATGGCTTCTAGGCACAGAAGGGTTGTGCCTCTGGGTACTTCTCAGAATGACAATGCGGGATCTTCTCTGCTACTTGTCTTGCATTAGTTATCCAAATGTTAAAATGGTGCCTTAGAATACAGGGGGGTTGTGTTTCTGGCGGCTACTGAGGCTGTGCTAATGGCCGTAATGTTGTGAAATTAAACTCTCAATGTGCAATCGATAGAGAACCTCAGTTTGATTAGAATTGTACTACTGACAGAGGTGCAAACTAAAAAAAGCCAAAAGTTTTAAACCCTTTTTTTAAAGAGCATAAAGACCTGGGTTTGTGTAATGCAGAGCAATAGTCAACATGGGAGCACGTGTTGAGAATTTCTGCGGTATGAATACCCTCAGGAAGATGCTGTCAGGATCTAATCTAGTCTTTGGTTATTTTTTCATTTGTGCTTCAACTTCCAAAGCTTTAGTGGTGTTTGGAATGTCTCGGTTTTAATGTCGGGTTAGATCCAAAGTTTGATCTGGTTTGTGGTTAGTTATTTGTGTTTTCTGTTTTTCCTCACAAAATCAATACATTTGGGTTAGCTATGACTGTTGCACATTGGAGCTGCACTTACAAATACTTACAAATGCATCTTTTCAGAAATTTTTTCTAGATGAGAATGATTTGTGCGTGTTAGAATCATGTTGATAGTTTGTCATGTTGGCATTTTTTAAGGAGTGAGGGGAGTGCTTTTTATAAGTCATGTATCTTTCATTTTGGCCCATCCCAAGAAAAAGATTTAGATTTTTCTATTTTGGTACTGCTTTTCATAATGTATTCTTA